TTTTTTGATTTTTCTACCTGGATTATTGAGCATGCATCAGGATATTCAGTAATAATAGTTTGAAGTAATTGTCTTGTGTATTACTTCTTAGAGTTGTAGAGGAACTGCAGTACATTCTTATCCATATGTTGCTCTAGTTCAGTGAGGTTGGTCAGCCTTTTCTTATCACAAGTCTTTATGGTCTCACAGGTCATTCCAGGTCAAATGAAGGTCCAAACATTGACCGGGTCGGTGCAACACCTTGGTTCTTTTCCTTGTTTCCATTCTATTGTAGATTAGCTGTTGACTGGGGTCACTGTCTCTCTTCATGACATATTTTCAGTCAAGCTTTAGCTGTCGGACACATGGTCAACATGGTTTGACTCAATAATTCACCCATCGATCCATCCATCCACCATTCATCCATCCACCATTCATCCATCCATCCATCCACCATTCATCCATCCATCCATCCATCCATCCACCATCCATCCATCCATCCATCCATCCATCCATCCATTATCTGTACCCTCTTCTTCTTTCTAGAATTGTGCCGCTCAAGGTGGCTGCATGTTGGAGCAGCTCTGTTATTTTCGTTCTGAGATTTTGCTTTTGGAAACTTTAATTCCTCTTTTTCTGGATGTAAATCACATTTTTTGGATGATTGTTTCCTCTGGTATCGGATGCTGTGCAGTTGGAAGGATTTTTACTGAAACTTTTGTTAGTTTTGGACATTTGTTATGATGCGTAACAATGGCAACAAGGCAGTTTTCTACAGTTTTGTCATCTACCTGCCAGCTGTGCTCGAGTGCCTGACCACTGAGATCCTGGAACTAGCAGGAAACACGGCTCATGACAGCAGAAGGACAGGATCGTTCCTCGGCACCTACAGTTGGCTGTCCGCAGCGACGAGGAGCTCAGCAGGCTGCTGGAAGGAGTGGCCATCGCTCTGGGAGGAGTTCTGCCCGGCATTCGGGCGATCCTACAGCCCGTGGGACCCGAGAGGCCAGCTGAGTCTGGGTGGACGGATCAGACAGCATCTGCAACCAGTTTCTTAGGATCCACTGTGGGATGGACCTTTACAGGAGATCCTTCCTGCCTACAACCATCAGTATCTATAACATCTCTTAATGAAATGAGGATAACGAGTTACAACAACAAATAATTTCCCTTTGGGATTAATAAAGTATTTTTGAATTGAATTGAATTGAATTCTTCCTTTTCAGGTCGATTCATGACTGACTCCTCCCGGCTGGAGGCACAAAGTCTGAACCTAAGGAATGACACTTTGCTCTTCTGCAGCTGCTTCTTTGTCAAATAAACAAAGACACAATATGGAGGTGTGCTGTGAAGAAAAGAATGTGTGCCAGGAGCAGAGGGGATGATGGTGAACAAGCTGAGGTACCTGACATCGACCATCCAAAGCTCAGGGGTGATTAGTGACGGGGGAGAAGGTTCATGGATGCTGGGAGAGAGGAGATGGAAACACATGTAAAACCCCTGAATGGAGAGGACAATAAAAGAACAAGAACATGACTTGATGTGTAAAACTTTAGAAGTGAAACTGAGTGTAGCAACTGTTTTCACCATGAAAGTCATAAACCAGAGCATACAAAACTCACCTCTTGGGTTTTTGTATTGTATAACTGTGTTGATGACAAGACATCACTCTAAACTTCACAAGAGGAACAGCAACAGTGGTTGCATTCACTTCTGCATTGTTCTCCTCAAATGTTTTCCACTAAATGGAAGTGAGGATCCAAAGTTAACGGTCAGTTTAATAGGTTTTATCTTCTTCCTCTTTGGATGAAACGAACGTGTCCGTTTTTATTAAATTATTCTCGGTCACTAAAGGGGACATGCGTCAAGTGTTGGAGGAGATGTGGAGCGTTACGTTTGGTGTTTTATTCAAGCCATGGCCTTCAGGTTTGAAGCAATCTGCACAACGTTTGCTACAGTCTAAATGGACTGTACTTATATAGTGCCTTTCAATCTTATCAAGACACTCAAAGCTCTTTACAACACAATCTGTGCCCTCATTAACACATTCATACAGCACTCTACTAGTTCTATACAAAGAATAATCAGAGTTTTATCACATTCATACACTGATGGGACACACATCAGGGGCAATGAGGGGTTCAGTGTCTTGTCCAGGGACACTTCAGCACGAGACTGCTGGTGGAATTGAACCCCCAACTCTTCTACTGGAGGGCAACTACTCTAATCACGCAGTCACAGCTGCCCCAAAACATTGACTCCGATGTGAGATCCACCTACTTGGTGGTGTTGAATGAACTTAGGAAGTGACATGCCTCCAAGCCTGCGGAGCAAATGCACCTTCCTGGCAATCCATGGATGCTTTATATTCCAAATAAACGCTGATATCTGGCTGTTCTGATTGGTGAAGAATGATTTAGTAAGGAAAATTGGCAGGCAGATATTTCCCTGAATTTTTGAAGCAAACTCAGTAATGCTAGTGAGAGGATCTGATATATACAAAAGCATGTCATCGGCATATAAAGAAACTTTATGCTCTGTGCCTAATCAGTTTGTACCTTTAATGATGGAGTTTTACTGTAGAGCTAATGGTTCTATCGCTAATGCAAATAGAAGCTGTGAGAGTGGGCACACTGTTTAAGGACAACATTCCAGTAAAAAACAAACTAAACCACCTCCTGTGACCACAGTCTCATGGGGTAACTTTACATTCTTGACCTTAAACCACATCAACCACTGATTGGAACGGTGCTCTGGAACCTTGAAGGCTTTAAATCTTTGAGTGTGAACCCACTGAGAGGTCGTAGTGATCATGTCAGCTGTTCTGTGCAGCAGAAGATTAACAATAGTTTGATTAAATTTAGGTACTGCTGTGTGACATGCATGTTTTACAGTGACTGTTCAAGCTGCACACATCCCATCGATCACGTCAGCTCCTGCTCCAAACATCCTAACGTGTGACAGCAAATATGATGTAAATCTGCCCAAAACGGCACCGTGGGAACTTCAGGGACACCTGAGCTCATCAACCTCTCATTAGCTCCTCTGACATGCCCGTTGGCTGCCAGACGTAAACATATAATTACTGAAGTCATACAAAAGGAGCAATTATGGTCCAGTCTCTTAATCTTACACAGGCTCAGTAATCAGTGTTTAAAAGTGAAGACAAATAAACATGATGGGAAACTAGTTGAAAAAAAAATAAAAACTGTGCGTTTACTGTTTAAAGTTACTAATAATTTACCACCAGTGGCGACTGGTTCTCTCCTCCCCATCACTGAGGTCCAATCACAGGTTCTGTTGGGTTTCAGCCTGTCTGTATGAAAGTAACACAGAGTGAAATCACAACCAATTTATCAATATTGTTCCTCTTTTTGCAGCGGCTGGCACATGTGTGTGTTTTTGATTTATCAAATCACCTCTGAGTTATTTACCAGTTTGGGCTTTGGGACAGGATGTTGGTTCAACTTTGCTCTTTGTGCTTGAATTATGTAACTACCTGCAGGATTAACGTGGCACATCAGTCACAATATGAGTGGTGGGTGAGACCCAGCCGAGAGGCTCCCAGTTCCCTGAAGGCAGCACACAGTTGGGTTCTGAAACAGCTGCGCTTCCTTCCCTTCACTTGAGCCGACGTTTCCACAGCTGCAGCAGCAGAAAACCCTGTTTTCAAATGAGGGCCTTAAAGAGCTGATGATCCTGGCACACGCTGCTGTGTTTGCTTAGTTCAAGGTGTGCAGGCCGTGGAAAGTTTGTCTGCGACCCACAGGGACTCGTTCAAGGTCCTCCAGAGTCCAGACGGACCAGCGGTTCAGTGGAGGCAAAAACCTTGAATAAAATGTTATGCAAAAACAAATCTCTCCTTAAGTTCTTAATTTCAGGTTTGTCCGCCGGTGAAATTATTATTAACAACAAAGTTGTTTTTAAAGTGAGTAAAAATACTGTTTATGATCATTAAAACTTCTGTTATTCTTCTATTTTCAGTGAAGCAGAAAATGTTGACACACGCTGATTATACAGATTATTAGAAATGTCTTGTTTTTACATTTTGTGCGCTGCTTTATGAGCTTAAACAAAATAACATCTGCACATGTTTAAAATAAGTTTATATGTAAATATATGTTTAAATAAGTGTGTAATTTCAGAACAGGAGTCGGTCTAGAAAATATCTACACGGTGCATTAATTTTCCTTTTTAGGTCTAATTTATTAGTTTATACGGGTTTCTTTCTTGCACAGTTTGGTTTTGTCTTAAACTTTCTTTGTCACTGACAATCCACTTAATTTTATTGAGATAAGTTTGTCCTGGAGGACATACAGAGGTTACGAGCTGCAAGTCTCACAACGATGGGAAAACAGCAAAATACACAGGAAGACAAGTTTAGAGAAGCAAGGATGTAGTATATACAAAAAAGTTCAAGACTAAAACAACTGGAGGTAGGTAACAGCTAGGTAACAACAAGGAGGTAGTAAAAACTTGCTAACAAGACTTAAGAACAAGAAAAGTATATGTTTATTGTACTGTGAATACTCTGATTACAGTAGGCCCTACATGCAGGAGTGTAGAGGATGTGACTCAGAACAAGGAAACAGCAGTGAAAACAGTACTTGTTTTGTGTGTGATTATAATCAAACTAGGCATTTTTAATAGTTTTATCAAATAAATCTCTTGGAGTGTTTGGTCAAAATCCTTTTTGACGTTTGTAATAGTTATTCTGAGGCACTAACAGAAAAAAAGCATTTGCATCAGTCAAGGTGACCTCCTTTCAGGTGCTCGGTTGTTTTGTCTCCTAAGAGCAGATGTTTCCACTTTTTATATTTTATCAACATTTTACCGAATCCTCTCCACTCTGAAGTTTCCTAAAAGAAGAAGAATCTGAACGAAAACATGTTTACTTGTTTGTGCTGCGCAAACACTGTAGTGCCAAAGAGCAAATGTGGGTAAACCAGAGGTGAATCGGGGAAATCTCGCGAGAGTTTGTAAGATCTCGCGTTAAGACGTTCGCGCGAGACGTCAGCTGGCGTCGCGTGTGTGATAAAACTGGAAGCAGCGTGGTCGGCTGGAGGGTAACTTGTGTGACTGCAGAGAAGGAGCCCCACACAGAGAGACCGATCCAAGGTGAGGACTTTTGATTTAGCCTTTAGCTAACCGGAAGTGTTGTTCTGGGGTCAGTGAAGCAGCTCGCGCGTGCACAGACGAACTCCCCTCGTGTCTCCAGTGGGGTGTTTTAAATACCGTTCGGTGTAAACTGAGTAAAGTCGTGAGGAGCTCGGTGTTTGTTGGAGCCGCAGCTGAGTCTCCACCTGTCACCCCGCACTTTAGCGCCATCACGCCGCGGCGGGGCCGCCATGAGCCGGCTCCCCGGAGTCACGTCCTGTCTGCTCCGGCAGGTGCGCTCAGGTGTGCGGGTCGAGACTCTCTGATGACACGAGTGATCTAAAGCTGTCACCAGCAGCTGGAAACAACCTCCAGATGTTTAATCCCGAGGAGGCGGATTATTCTGACCAATAATCGTTTTTAATAGACCAGTAAGACTTGACTGTGTTGACGTCATGAAGTTTAGTTTGTAACGGGTCAGAGCAACATGTCTGTTCTGTGCTTATCTGGAGGTGGATTATAAATATACAAAGATTAAATTAATAAATATACAAAGATTAAAATAATAAATATACAAAGATTAAATTAATAAATATACAAAGATTAAAATAATACATATACAAAGATTAAAATAATACATATACAAAGATTAAATTAATACATCTGAGTCCTGATTCGTCAGTTTATCCTCCTGCTGCTTCTCCTTCTCCCAAGGTTTAACTGCCGTGTGACTCTCACATGATCCACCACTGCACCGTGACTCCTCACCCCTCTCCTCTCTCCTCACCTCTTCATCGCTGAATTTTTTCTCCCCCTCACCCCCGAGTCTTTTCTCCCCCTCAACTCCGAGTCTTTTCTCCCCCTCAACTCAGAGTCTTGTCTCCCCCTCAACTCGGTGTCTTGTCTCCCCCTCGATCCCGAGTCTTTTCTCCCCCTCCATCCCAAGTCTGGTCTCCCCCTCCATCCCGAGTCTTGTCTCCCCCTCCATCCCGAGTCT